TTGCCATGCACACATGCCTCCCTTCAGCCTTACTATAAATACAAAAATGATGGTTTACTGAAGGAAAAAACTCAAATTTACACCTGAAAATGCAGAAAGTAGTGTTTGAGAGCATGATGAATTTCAAAAAAGCCCCCCTAAAATCTGCACTCAGCATGTCTTCACTGTGCATAGCATACAATAAAAAAAAAATGGACGCCCACCAAAAAAATCCTAGCTAAAAGCCTGATATAAATGGAGGTTTCTAAAATGACTACATGTATTTCAGAGATGTGTTCTGGTGGGTGTGAAACTGCCAGTCACTACAATAACAGTCAGATTACCTGCAATGCAAAATTTTTACAAGCAGCAATTCAACTTAATCTTGTGCCCCTCCTTTTCAATTTACTAGAACTAGTACTTCATTCAAGTATTCAACTTTTTCTCTTATCAGAGCTCTAATTATAATTTGCTACCACAATATTTGTAAATGCCATCTCCACCCATTCTATAATTACTACTAGTATTAGTTTGCTATATAGACTTAAGTTGAGAGTACATGTACAACGCTTGTCTTACCTTGAAGAGTACGAGTATGATGAGGACCAGGAGCAGCAGGCCAGCACAGGCAGACAGGATGATGATCCATAGCGGAACCGGCCGCTTCCCCACAGACGGCTTACTGGGGTTTGCTGTCGTCGTAATCTGGGGAGAAATGGTCAGGAAAAACATAAATTTGTGCAAGAACAACAATTTCAAACCAATCCATCCATTCCAGTTTCTCATTTACACCAAAGACAGTGTATGATGTTATGCAGCTCATCCCTAAATATCTCTTTCTAATTCATCATCTCAAAAAATTTTCATGTTTCATTCTAAGTAATCAATTTGATGAATCTGTGCAAGAACGATGCTTTCAATCCAATCCATCCATTCCAGTTTCTCATTTATACCTAAGACAGTGTATGATATTATGCAACTCATTGTCTTCACTTTATCTATATATGAACTAATAGTTCGTGGTTATAAACCTGTTGATCTTGAGATTTTACCAGTGTCTTACCAAAATCATATCCAGTTGCTTGAGTAACTGTTTTTGGCATATCTTATTACCTAGATGTCTAACCTTCAGCAACGTATGCAACACATTCTCAATTTTCTCTCTCTCTAAGTTATCATCTAAAGAAAACAAGATGAAGTTGTACCAACCTCTGCCCTGGCCGTAGGTTTAACGTCTGCTGTGATGGCGTACGGGAACTCCAACACTTCAAAGTCTGCCAGAGACGTAAGCGTTGTCTCTGCAAAACCTCCCTGTGGGGGAAAAAACACAAAGTTGGGAATGATTTCCACAGTTACAGCTACAAAATGTGTGAATGGTGGTCATATACCACTTGATTCTTACAGAAGCAAAAAGAGGGCTGCTTTCAAAACACCGCTACTTCAACCCGTGAATAGTTTCATCAGGTTGGTAAGTCACTGAATAAAGAGTCGCTGTAATTGCAGGTACTGTTCCCTGTAACCATTTGGGAACGCATCTATGACAGCGACACCTGTGCTGTGCAACGTGAACCAGTTACTGAAACGTCGGCTGAAAAAAACTCCCGATTGTGGAAAAAGAGTCTCTTTATTCACCACTAGTTCAACATTTCACACTGTATAAAAGAGAGCTCACCTCCAAAAGTGTGTCCACCCACAGTCTGGACCTGATCTGCACCACTGCAATGTTATCCTTGTTCAGCCTCTCCAACATACAGTCTATCACTATGCACTCAGCATTGATGCAATCCTGCAGAACAGGAGAGAGATGTTTTAGTACATGTACCTTAGCAGCAACATACCGTCAACTTCAACTGACATGTAACAAAGGAGCATGTTGCAGAAGTTTCACTGTGAAGGGTGCTTACAATGTATTTGTAGTTGTGAGGATGTCTAAGAACAACAGACAGAATTAATGAATGGATAGATGGATGATTCTAAGATATCAGTGGAAGGATGGTGTATGTAGGAAAGAAAGATGGATGGATGGATGGAAGGATGGAAGGATGGATGGATGGATGGATGGATGGATGGATGGATGGATGGATGGATGGACGGATGGATGGATGGATTGAGGGTTATGGATGGATGGATGGATGGATGGATGGATGGATGGATGGATGGATGGATGGATGGATGGATGGATGGATGGATGGATGGATAGGTGGATGAGATGTAGACAAAGAGACTAAGAATTGAAGGAAAGCAGAATTATCTGCTAGTACAAGGGCATTGTAACCGTACCCAACAGATGTGCCATTATCTACAATTCAGATCGTTAAATCTGTACCTGGCTGCACTGTACAGTAACAAAACAACACCAAGCCACAAGACACAACATATACATGTACCACCACCAGCATAAGGACACAATGGTCAAAATAAAATGTACACAACATCTACTAAACAAAAACATCCAGAACTGCAATCTAGCTCCACAGTTGGTCAGAGGAGAGGAGAGGAGAGAAGAGTGTTACCTCGGTGTCATTGACCTGTAGGTCATTGACCTTGGGTACAGGCTGACAGGAGAGGGACAGACAGGTCAGTAGGTTAGTAAGAGGACCATCATGCACCTGTCAACACAAACTCTGGGAACACAGAATACACCCCCTGGGTTTGCATTGGTAAGTGCATAAGGTATGGAATAAAGACAAGAGAACAGCTTATCGATATAGAAATGTGTAGAGATTATACATGTATGTGTCATGCATTGACTATTGACAGAACAGACAAAGGGTTAGGTGTTAGTTACAGACACATGGAGAATACAAAGAAAAGTACCATACAGGTAACAAGACATACGCGCAATTCAGGTTTCCAAATTCTACATATTACAAAAAGGGACACAAACAAGCTATAAGACGTGTATATTGGATAAGTTTGAATCATTAAATCAGAAATTTTATTGACACTGAAAGAAAATGAACCCATTTTCAACACTAAAAAGTGAAAGAAAATTAAATGTATTTATTCAATGTAACTGAAAATCTTTTTAAGAATGAACAGCACAGAACATAGATGAGAAGGAGGCACTGTGTAATTACAGTGAGCGTAGGTGGATTGAAAAACACTTCAATCTCTTTCTTCTTCAAGCTGTTTCTCTTTCCTTGTTTCTTTCTCCTTTTCCTGTCTCTCTTTTTGTGTCTTACTGTGCTGCTGGGGACAGTTGGTCTGGCCTGGGGACGGTCCATTAACGCAGCAGTAAGGGGGAGGGACAATGCTTGTGTTAGGAGACAGCAAAGAACAGTGCATAGAAAAGGGTTGAGTTCTTGGAGTGATAGCATTAGTACATAGCTGAATAGGCTTCACACCCTGAATGAGGACTCTCACTGTTATCTTTGATTGTGAAGGACTACCAACTTACACATACATGTAGCTGAACATAGTATATACAAAGTATAGAAGCACAGAAGACCAGACAACTTACAAGAACACTTGCTGAACCAGATGGTGAAACATGTTCATGTACAGACATTATTTGAGGTAGTTTTGCAAGACAGATACAACAAGAAACACTTAATTTTCCCTGTAACTTTCTAAGGAGTAATCCATAGAAAAATAAGGATGTTGACATTTTGTACCAAAAACATTTTTGAGGGGTCTTATACATTGTAGCTGACAGCTACACAGCAGGAAGAAAGACTTTTTTACTTCTCACCATCTGTGAGATTTCCTTGTCGGTTGTTGCCGCTGCCCTGCGATGTCTGGCGGCGCGGGAGGAGTCCAGGGCGTACAGAGCTTCTGCTGTTTGTGCTGCAGACGCTGAATGAGTCTGGAAAAACATGGTTTTAACAAAATTAGATTCAAGGGGAAAACTAAGATAAACATACACTGCATTATCACAATAAACATCTATGTTTTACTAGTCCACATTATAAAACAGAACTCCAGCAAAAGCAGCATATTCCTGTCTCTTATCTTCAATGCAAAATGGTTCACACAGTTGTGCGAGATTTGAATCCTTAGCCAGTTCAGCAAGTTCAGCAACCAACCAACTAACCAGCAAACCTGATATATACATGTACCTAACATCCTTATCAAGTCAAAAATAGGTAACAAATGGATTAAGAAACTTCACTCATCCTATGATGGCAAACTGATGGAAATTTTGGGGGGATAGCCATGTATGTGTAGTACAAAATTTTGCCATCTTGTTGGCAGAAAAGGCTGTTATAGGTTATCGTTCTATCACTTACAGAGACTCCTTTATGGTTGACGTCTCCGTTGACGGTACAGCGCCCGTTGCCCTGGGTTACGTTCACGGCCAGCAGGTACAGAAGGTCCTCCCCCGTACGCGTGTGCACCGGCCACTGGATCCTCAGCTTGGAGCTGCTGATGTCACTCGGACCAACGTTACGGATCTGGGAGGGGGAGAATAAATGTTATCCTCATAACTGAAGGCTTTCTGTACCTGTATCTGTATAGCCGGTATAACTGCCTTTTGGCGTAACACACCAGCTTCGCAGGCACGCGGCGCAGCGGCAGCAGGCTACATTACACCGATCGACTTGTAACACCTAGCCCTTGGCCATCTAACTCTAGACATTGTTTAAAGCTATCTAATGACAATGCACCTACTCTACTTGGTGACAGCGAGTTCCACTCTGCGATAGTTCTAGGAAAGAACCTTTAATGCAAAGTTAGGGCTACCTTCTATAAAAAAGATTCATAGAAATCAGTCAGGCAAACAATTTATAATCAATGACAGAACACAATGATTCTTGGGATCAGATATAACAATGTCATAAGACTGCAGTGGGACAGTCAGTTGTCTTGGAAGAAAGGTTTAGCTCTGGACTATGCTATTAAGCTCTTTATACACAGTACTGCCTACAGGTACAGTAGCTTTAGTCACTCATAATTTCCTGTAATCAAGCTTCATGTTTCCCCACAATTTGCCTTTCCTCATGGTAACAATGTCTCTGCATGTACTTCCGTATACAACTATTCATTACAATGTCTAATGTACACTGTAGATATACATTTGTAATACCTCATATCTGTGTGTGACCTCAGGCCCGATGTCCCTCTCATCTGTGATGTCATCAGATTCTCTCTCCATCTTCATGAACACCACTTGTTCTGGCAGAGATACGCTGAGGGGGGAGAGAGACAAACAAACAGGGACGTCAGAATTGCTCTAGTATCAGTAATGGCTTAAAATGAAAAGAATTTGCTACCAAATCATTCAATACCAGTGAATTCATCTAGAAAAGATTCTTGATTACCAGTTTTTTGTGTCTTTTTGGATTGCAAGATTCCAACATTTAGACAGTAAAGTTTTAACTCTCAGGAAAGTTACTATAAAGTAAAAACTTACCCTCTAACAGAAACGCTGGCGTTGACCTTGACAGGCACTGGGAAGGTGATGCGATTGTCTCCTTCGTCTCCAGCTTCCTCTGCATTTGTGCTGTAAAACACAAATTCGAATCAATCTTTAATTACCTCCAAAGCATTTCATTTAGTGATGTTTAAGAAGAGTGACGAATTTAACTTGAAACGTCCAGAAGTTATCTCCGTCAGTTATCCAGTAGTAGAGTTTGATTTGTCTTTGAAGATTGTTTTACCTGGATGTCTAACCATCATCAATGTACCTCCAAAGCATTTTTTTCTTACCAAATACAGTACAATGTAGATACTTCTCCTGTTATGTTCCAAGCAAAGTATTGTTTTTTGTGTGAATCTCTATCCTAACATTCTGTATTTTGTTTCTACTTTAAATTCATAAGAAGAAAACATGACCCCTCACCTGTTAACACTGAACCGGAAGTCGAGTGAGTTGCTGTTGCCTGTCAGCTGGACGGTGGACAGCCGCAGCCCGAGCTGTGTGCGTCGCGCTGTGAACGGGTTGCCAAGGTCACACACCAGCAGTCGCTGGTCCTCCTCCTGAAGGTTACAGGTGATGATGGCACCCTGGGAACAAGATTGTGATCGTTAGCGATGCCCTGGGAACAAGACTGAGATTGTGAGCAACCGTTAATGCCCTCTTGTGAAGGAGTATGGGACTGCAGCCATGACCCACATTTATCTAATTTTTATTGCATTTAATTGGAGGAGGGGCGTCGGCACGAACTCCATCTTCTGTGGAAAGTGTCGACACTGGATCCATAAACGGTGCACAAACATCAAGGGCAGTCTCAAGGAAGACACCAGCTTCAGATGCAGGAGGTGTACTAGTGGACCCACCACAGCCCCTGAAACACCCACAGAACAAGTGACAGTTGGCACTGAAAACCTTAAAGTAGTACCTACCTTCTGCTACCTGGGAGACATGATAAGCCAGTCTGGGGGCTGCTCTGATGCAGTGACTGCCAGGATCAAGTCGGCCTGGAAAAGCTTCCACGAGCTTCTCCCAATCCTCACTAACAGCTACATACCTCTTAGAAACCGTGGGCATGTCTTCAACTCCTGTGTCAGAGGCGTCTTACTCTACGCTTCTGAGACATGGCCCGTGACAGCAGAGGACATGAAGAGATTGGCACGGAGCGACAGGGCCATGGTAAGATGGATTTGCTCCAGGAGACTGGCAGACTGCCAGTCAACTGAACAGCTTCGTAGGCGGCTTGGAGTCCATAACATTCAGGACACAGTTAGGTACAACAGACTCAGATGGTACGGCCACCTCCAGAGGATGGACAGGGACAAATGGCCGAAGAGGATCCTCACACTGGACGTGGAGGGTCCAAACCCCCGTGGCCGCCCCAGAAGAAAATGGTACGACAACGTACGGGAGGACCTCCACCACCTGAACCTAGATAAAATTGACCCACAGGACAGAGGCAAGTGGCGTGCTGCCATCAAGCCCCAGACGTATTGTGCAAGCACGTCTAACCCTCGGAAGACGGGGAACAACAGACGATAAACCGGACAGTGAGTGAGTGTGAGTGAGTGTTAATCCCAAATGTGATGTGATGCAATGATTGCATGTCTTCCCTGCATCCTCATCCCAAAAACTTAGCAAAAGACAGTCAAGAAATTAACTTGAAAAAGAGACAAAAGCCAAATTAGAAGAGCCATCTCTTTTCTTCTGAAAAATTTTACGACATTAATATGCTCCTGCAAGTACCCCTATAAACAGGCTCCTATGAAATCATAATCGAATGCACCCATCTATTTTTGCCAAATTTCTATCACCCAACATAGGCCAACACGGCAAGGTCTACCACGGTCTACCACAGTCTACCACGGCAAATTCTTTTCTCTCACCCCTCGTGGGTTTCCTGTTCCCACAAAGTCGACCCCCTCGGGCAGCATGACGGACAGCAGGGCTTCGTACGCGCCCTCGCCGTGATTCTCCACCACCACATCCATCAGCAGCTGTTTGTCACTTCCAACAACGATGTCCGTGCCCTGCCTGGGAGAGGGAATAAAAACATCAAGGTTTAAAATGAAGCTATAATTCTTCTACCTTTTGCTTTCTCAGCATTTCTTTGATATCCAGTTTGGCAAAGGAACTAGCCAGCTGCAGTTTGAAAGGAATCTTAGACAGCCTATTTTAATCAACAACAAGGGAAATCGTAAATTGTAAGTTTACTGTACATGGACATTATAATAACATAACGGGTACACAAATGTTGTAGGAGTAGGACTGGTGTGTTTCTCACATGGACACAAACACCTTACGACACAAAGATGTTGTAGGCTTACTTGTGTACAGAGAAACACCTTAAAGGTGCTGCAAAGATGTAGTAGGTTTCTTTACTTGGATACGGACAAACACCTTAAGATCAGGTACACAGATATAGTAGGTTTCTTTACTTACATTGTACATGGAGACGAAGAGCTTGAAATCAGGCACACAAACTTTGTAGGTTTGCTTAGTAAATACATACAAACACCTTAAGATCAGCTACAGAGATGTAGTAGGTTTCTTTACTTACATGGAGACGAAGACCTTGAGATCAGGCACACAGATGTTGTCAGCTCCACAGTCCTTAAGGATGTTGACCTGGCGCGTACGCCGGCTCGGCTGGTTCAGGTTCAGGATTGGAAGGAGCTGGTCCGGCTGCAGGGTCACGGGGTCAGCCATGCTGTACGCCACCGCCACCGAGATCGGGCTCAGCTTGTCACGGATGTCGTTCTGTTACCATGGAGACAGACGTTTTAGTATTGCTACAACGATTCACTTCCTAATGACTACAATACACCTGCCACTTAACACTGGGAAAGACCCTAACAATTTGCAAAAAAAAATAATTCAGGGCAGAAACTACATTGTCAATATATATGTATGATGACAAGAACAAAAATATCACAGAAAGGAAAGTAACTATGCTCTTTCAACTAATATAATTGTCAAACTGGAATACAACTGGAATAGATAACAAAGGGAAGATGCCTGGCATCCTACCTCATTGTAGCTGCTATTGAATCTCTTCTGACCAAGGAGCTACAATAGGGATGGCTACCAGGCTAATAAGAAAGATGACTGTCCTACCCTGAGGAAGGCCTTCTGTGTGATACACATGGAGTCTGGGTCTGCCTTTCTTAAGTTGGACGACCAGGTCTGAGATGTTTCCCTGCCGCTGAAGAACACGCGCTGTCCAACTGTCTTCAGCGCATCCAGGGTCACCTCAAACTTAAGGTCTGTGGACATAAAGGAAGATTATGAACAAACCTTTGCTAAAGTACAAAGTTGTTTTGTAAAGTCTTTGTCTGTTCTGCAATGTTTCCTGATGTATTGTTGTTGAAAGCTACATAAAGAATCGAAAAAAAGTTTTGACACTGTACCAGAATCTGAATTTGTTTGTGTAACTTTATACATTTTTGTATCATGTACTAACACACTGAATCTTGCAGGGCATAATTATACAGTATGTGACTATGAATGACATTCAGTACGAAAGTCACAATTAGAGGTACACTTACCAACTTCTGCAGGAACATTGATTCCAGTGTAAGAGGCACAGACGTTGATGTCAAAACTGTCGGGAACAAAAAGAGAACAATTCTTGAGACAGTGATGACAAGCAATATACTACCGGTATCAGATTCAAACTGTGTGTTTTGCAGTAGCCTAACCTGCACTTTTACCTCTGCCTGCTAGGTGGCACTTTTGAACCACTTTTGTTTGGCCCAGGTTTGAACTCATGAACTAAATGTTAGACATGACATCAGCTATACGACTCACCACACCACGGCAGTCCCGTCGTCCAGGGTACAGGTTTTGTTCTCGGTGTCGATGAACTCCGGTTCCACCTGCACGATCACGTCTGCGTTCACGACGGGGCGGGACTTCAGCACGACAACAGAGTCGGCCTCGTACGCACCGATCGCAATGTCTGTGGGAAATAACGGGAGGTTAGAAACTTTCCTACATGAAGATCGAGCAGAGAACAGAAAAGAGGGACTAGGATTTAGTAAGCAAAACATGCCATTGACACCAGTAGTCAAGGTACTCTCCAAGCAGAGGTTGATGGTGGAAGATTGTTTGCTTTTTATAATATATGGCCCTTTTTTTGTTACAGACTGGCCAATTTGATACTGTCTTACTCCCATCAAAAGATCTGCTTGGAGATTATAGTCAAGGCACTCTTAGGAACAATCCTAATTCTTTTTTTTACGACATGACGAAAGAAATATGGCTAGACAAGTGAAGAAAGCATGCCATGGGATGTGGTAGATACTCTTCCATCAGAAATTGAACAGAGGAAAAAGAAGCCATGCAAACATAAACGTTTCATCATCATTTTAAACTTAAAACTTTGAAGATACTCAAAATCATCTTATTGTATATTCACAGCTCCTGCTCATCCTTGAAGAAAAACAATCATCTTCCACACAAAATGACAGACTTTCCCTACCTGGGTATCTGTTGTTATCCACGTCCTTAGCTCCAGCAACTGAGAAGCCAAAAGCTGACAGGGGCTCCGGGAAGTCTGATGCCTTTATCTCCTGTAACAGAGGGACAAGCACTGTTAGAACTTGCCAAAATACACAATGTGGCTTGTTTCACTTTTATCTTTATGTAGTTAACATGCTTCTTGATTAACATTGTTTTGAGAAATTCCTCCAACAGTGACAAGCACTCAGTCTGTGAGAAGATGTACAAGCACACTGTATTCTGGTTCAGTTTTATATCTTAAGGTTTACATGTATGTAGTAATTGTGCTTTTTGATTGATACTGTTTATGAGAAGTTCCATTCAAAGGGAGGGACATACTAAGTGTTTGGATAAATATTACAGTGAAACATTGTGTGAGAAGTATAATAAATTCATTAAATCAATTAAAAGCAGTTATTGGGAGTAGTTGGAGTCTAAATCTTCATAGAACTTATCTCGTAACAATGCCTTAATATTAGCCTCCGACAGCCAAGTGGCTGTATAAATTGTAACATTTCTTCTTAAGCTAATTGTAAACCTTTCTCAAAAGGTGAAAAGAGAGCATTAAATTTTGAATTTGATCAATCCTGTGAAGAGGACCTTTGATAGTAATGAAACAAGAGGCAAAAGCCATCCCATTCAGAAGTAATGTACCATTAAGTCACTACGGGGTGCTTCTCCCATCTCCTAACACTGATCTCTCTCATGAGGAGGCTACTGTCCAGCTCTGATGCTGGGTTTATTGTTATGGCCATGATTAGGAATTTTACTACCTGTGCTTATGTAACAAACTCATTTGCTTTTTTGTTTGTTTTTTCTTGCCAAAACTTGATATTTAATTTTCCATACATTTGAAAAATTAGACAAGAAATGGAAAAATAAAAAAGGAGTTCAAAACTATAAGGCAGCATTCAGCCTATCTTGTTATGTACAGGAATTACGAAAACATTCTTACATCCAGATCTGTATCAACGTTAGAATTCATTGACTTGCTCTTTTACTTTAGCTAATACTACCAATCCATAAACCAGAAGAAGTCAGGATTTGTTGGCTATCCTTTTCTCTAACCAACTTACCAAAAATTTCATAAAACAAAACGACAGTCGTTAAAACCATATCCTTCTTGACAAGCACTCCTAGCAAAGATAATGAGACCATAAAAGCTGTGCACCCTTCCACATTACACCCCACCTTTTCCTGATCCGTTTTACCTCGAACACATCTAATCGGCATTCCCACTCATTGGACTGCAGTAAAGTGACAACCCCCATAAAGATTTATATCTTCACTTAGATTCAATCTCATCCTATCTTACACGCCAACATCAAATTCTCACCCCTCGTGTGACCCCGATTCACCCCCTGACACCGAGCACTTTGGAACGATTTCGCTCTGACAACAACACGATGCTAAATTTATAATTTCACTGTTCAGCAAATTTCGGGAATGAAAATTAATCAAGCATTTGGCGGCACTGCATAAAATTGGTCGTCCGGCTCAGTTTGGGAACTAATCGGTAAACGTTATACCCGGGGTTTGATTATCGAATTTCGGACCATCCGGCGGGCTTCGAACCTGATTACTCTGTGGATTGTAAGTCTTCGTTCTCCCAGTTCGATGCTCACACATCAAATTTGGAGCCATGAGGTCCAATTAGTGCCTGTGTTTCCCTCCCGGAAGGGGAAATAAAATTTGGAAATATGAAAAATTGGGTCACACCCTGGCTTAACTCAAAGGATGGATTAATTAATGAAACATGGGGAGGGTACTGGCAGAGTCACGCTAAATAAAACCTAATTTTACAACAGTCCTACAATGTTTTATTTCACGACTTTCACAGCTTTTGAGTTTTTCTTTCTCCTTGAAAGAGATTTGTTTCTTTTACTCCTCATTTTTTAAATAAATTTGTCAATATAATTGCCCTCAGTCCTCTATTCTATGTTTTGCTAAGCTCTTTTTTAGATTAGCACTGATTGTTATACTTTCTTCTTCCTTTCTTCTATCATCAGTATATTTTGTTGCTTCCTATACTTTATCCTTTCTTGTCTATGTACATGGTTATGTCTTCCATTTTCAAGTTAGCAATATGAGACCTTAGGGACTGGGTGGTTCCAACGTTCATTTTTCTCTCGAAGAACTAGAATACAAAAGGTCACAAAGCCAGCAAACTGAGCCAAAAGAATGGCCTATTGAGGCTGAAAAGAAGGCTTCAGTTTCTACACAGGGAATTTTATACAGAGGCAAGCATCACCATTCTTGATTACTGAGCACAATAATTATATTTTCTCATCACCTACTGCCCAATATGGGCAGGATTTTCAATTTGTAAAATGGGTGAGAAAATGGGGAACAAATGGGATGGCCTTTAAGGTACCAAATCCAGTTTGCATTTATGAATGAACTTACCGACATTCCTCTAATTTCAGCATCCTCAAAAACATTTTCAACACCTCCTTTGACACAGTTTTACTTTTTACTACAATTCTGCATGATTATACAGTAAACTTGAACTCGCTTAAGCTTACTTTGAGGCCATTTCTGCTGCAGTAGGTATTGTTAAATGTGATGGCATGGTTGCAGAAATAATGTCTTCTACAGTAAGCATAGATAGAGCCTAAGAGAGGACCGAGCCATTTTAGGTTTTGATTCATCGTGCGTAAAATTGGGTGGTATGAAAGAGGATTGTGGTGGTTCTTCCGGTCTTTTCTTTAAGCTGCGGACAAAAGCTGAAAAACCCTGAGTGAGAGCACATTCAGGGCTCCAAATACCCAGTGCACCTAGTATGCCTCCTGTACTTAACAGAAAAAATAAAAACAACTAGGCTAACTGAAAGAGCTCACTATGCTCAGTAATTATGGATCACATTATATTGGGGAAAGAGTGGAAACAAATACTTTTGACCCAGATATTGTGTGACATGCACCTCTCCTTAATGATACAATAATAAAAACATAAAATCGCACAAAAAACATATTTTCAATATCACATTTCTCCTTAAATCTAGAGGGAATGGACATGAGGCTGGGGTGTAAAACACAGCTTTGTACAAATCAATATCAAATCATTTCAAACATTATGAAATGTAGGTCATGCTTTCAGGGAAAGGTACTGCAATGTCAGCTAACCAAACTGGTTTGAGTTACACAGATACACCCTCTACACTCTCCTCAACTTCATTAGCTGCCATAGCTCCAGGCCAAATTCTAATTAGTGACGAACACAGAGTGGTGAAGGTGGTTTCCATATGCATGAGGTAAACGTTGGTTGCCCATCTCATTTTCACCACAACACTGCTCACTACATGCATCCATGGACTTACACATCCACTGGGACTTGTGGAAATGCAAACAAATTAAATGACAATATTAGCACTGGATGTGTATAACACTGGATGTGTAGTTCTTGAAACATGCCATGACTTTTCATAATGGTAAAACTCTCAGAAGCAGTGTTATATAAGGTTTAGTTCAGTATAATATATATAACTTATAAGCCTTACATAACATAACTATTTTCACCCTTTCATTTAACACCCTTTCTTATGTCTGAAATGCTTTTATAATCCACCTTGTTAGAAAATAGCCTCTCAAATTGACTTTTCCGTGTGTAATAATGAGATAAAACGTGGATGTCAGCCCTTTGTGTGTTCATCCGATCACCCTGCCACAACTGGGTCAAGAGGTTTGTTTTTCTGCATGCTGCAGGTGTTCAGAATTACCTGTACTGTGGTGCTTCACAATACTTTAGGGCTTAACCACTCCATTTCCATTTTTAGGTTTTTGCACATCAAAAAGGAAAAGAGAGAGGAAGTAGAAAATATAAAGGGATGGGAGGAAAAGTTCAAGTTTTGCAGCAAGTTATTAATAATAAAAACAGAAATGCTTTATAGTTCTGTCATAGTTTTGTCATCATTGAAGGCTTAAGGTTAAAGGTGAAAGTTGAAAGGTGATGACCCCTGACCTGTGCTGGTTCGCTGCGGAGGCCATCGGCTGACCCGTGGTAGATGTACACGGCACCCATGTTGTCTCCCTCCTCACCAGTCTGGTACGGAGCACCCACAGCAATGTCTAGAAAAAAATAACAAACAAACAAATAAACAAGAGTGTGTTTGTTGACAAACATAAATAAATAACACTGGTATGTTGCATTACATGACCTGACATATTCAGATAGAGCAATACATATTCATTGGAAATTCAAACTCTACTACTGGATAAATTACAGAGATAATTTCTGGATATTTTGAGTGAAAGCCACCACTCTTCTTCAGCATCACTAATAAACTAACAGAACTCATGAATGCACATATATTCTTCACTCGAAATGTCCGGGAATTATCTCCGTAATTTATCCAGTAGTAGAGTTTGAATTTCCTAGTATTATTTTATTTTATTTTATTTACATGGATTTTTGAGCATTAGATAGGAAGCACTTGTTGTGCTTATGTGAATCCGCTGCTCATAAATCATAATACAAACGTAAACATAAAGATGACAATCATAAAATATAACATAAACATAAAATGAAAGTGGCTGTATTATATACCTGGATGTCTGACCTTCAACAACGTAGCAATAGATAGCACTTGTCATTAATATGATGCAAATATAACAGTTAAATATGATTCATATAACAGTAATGTTTGTAACATACCGTTGAAGCCATCCTGGTTGACATCACCCAATGCAGCAATGGATGTTCCAAACCTTCCACTGGAAACCTTCCCACTCAGGATGGTGGGCTCACTGAACACAGGCTGTATGAAACACAGGGAGGAAAATTCTACTGAGAGAAGCACAGGTTTTACATAACGTTACAGATTCTTAGTAACCAGCAAAGTCTTGACAATAAAAAAAGGGTCACAAAGGCATATAGTTTGATCTAGTAACTATCCCAAAGCATATTGTATAAAGATAACAAATTATCATGTTAATGAACCTGAACTTTTATTTCTTAAGCTTTCTCTCACTGACATTTTTGTTTTTGTGGGGGTTTCAGGCAGGTTTTGGTCTACATTTGCTGTGTAGTTGCTCACATTCATGACTGCCTGGTGGTTTCTAAGAATCCAGTAAATGTCAGTTGACGAAAACAAGCCATGAGCTGGAGCCTGACGGCCGTTTGCTTACGGTAAGGATTGAGCTGCTGACAAACAGCCCAAAGGTGCTTCGTAAGTAGGGTACTCTAATACTTGTGGTTCACATACCACAATCGTATAGGGGGAAAATAATGCACACATGTACATGTAATGTAGTCTTCATCTTTATGTAGTCATTTGAGAAAATTGGAGAAAACGTCGGCAGAACGTACTGTGCCTGCGCAAAGCCTGTAATGTATCGTATTCACATATTTGAGGATGACACTCAGTCTTTAGTTTTCAAGCTCCAGTATAGTAGACCTGCACACAGATCTCCATACCTATTCCTCATTTGTCACCTTTGCTGTACAACTAACATGTCTGTTTTTTGTAGTTTGCTAGGAAGCTGCTAGGGGGAGCACTTACCGAGAGTCCGGGCTGTTCCAGGTGGTAAACATACACCCTGCCCAGATCTCATGACTTTTCCTTATTTGTTACCTTTTACTGTACAACTAACAGGTCCGTTTTCTGTAGTTTGCTAGGAAGCTGCTAGGGGGAGCACTTACCGAGAGTCCTGGCTGTTCCAGGTGATAGACATACACCCTGCCCAGGTCTCATGCCCTTCCTCACTTGTCACCTTTGCTTGACAACTAACATGTCCGTTTTCTGTAGTTTGATAGGAAGCTGCTAGGGGGAGGGCTTACCGAGAGTCCAGGCTGTTCCAGGTGATAGACATACACCCTGCCCAGGTCTCATGCCCTTCCTCACTTGTCACCTTTGCTTGACAACTAACATGTCTGTTTTCTGTAGTTTGCTAGGAAGCTGCTAGGGGGAGCACTCACCGAGAGTCCTGGCTGTTCCAGGTGGTAAACATACACCCTGCCCAGATTTCATGACTTTCCTTATTTGTCACCTTTGCTGTACAACTAAAATGTATGTTTCTGTAGTTTGCTAGGAAGCTGCTAGGGGGAGCACTCACCGAGAGTCCAGGCTGTTCCAGGTGGTAGACATACACCCTGCCCAGGTCCCAGAGATGCTCCCTCGGGCTGGAGTACATGGGAGCACCCACGATGATGTCATCAAGTCTGCAAGAACATGGAACACAACAAGGTCATGGTCAATGTCAAGCCAGCACATTCTTAAAAACCCTTCATCAAAGTAGCTATGACAGAAAATTCCCTGTTATGATTATTGTTAAGAAGGATGAGAAGGCCACACAAGTACAAGTATAGGACATTTTTTTAAACAAAATCTAGCAAGCAATGGTCTTTCCAGTAAGAAAATGTTTTTACCAGTATTATGATCTTACAGCTTTGCGTTATTTCTTTTCGCCACATGAACCAACAAATCAAAGAGCAATCAAAGTCGTATGGTCTAATACTATCCCATCGTTTTACATCATTTATTCTGTGGTTCCATAGGCAGTAACACTGCACCACAAAAGCTTGTAACAAAATTATATGGCTGACAATTACACAGGAGCCCATTATACGACCTTGATGTTATTGCTGTCAAGTACTCGATCAAAACGGGGATTTCTGGGGCAATGTGATGACAATAAGCATGTTCTTGCAGTTTATTGCTCATTTCCCACCATTCAAATTCTCCTGTCAACAATATACATGTACACTGTATATCTGACAGTTATGGTAAAACCATTAAATTCACTGCACACTATCATCCTCAACAGAGTGAACAGGTTTTTTTTACAACAACCACTAATTTAGCACCATGGCATTTTTTTATGTCACCGATATGTAAGCTGACAATTACATCAATGCCATCAAATTTAATGTAAAAACCAGCCATCAACAGTATCCCTCATAAGGTAAAACCATTAAATTCAATGCACACTATCATCTTCAACAGAGTGAACAGTTTTTTTTTTACAACAACCACTAATTTAGCACCATGGCATTTTTTTATGTCACCGATATGTAAATTAACAATTACATCAATGCCATCAAGTTTAATGTAAAAACCAGCCATCAACAGCACCCCTCGTATGCCCTTGGCATTAACATTGCCACGTGCTGGAGCAAAACAGATTGTCAGGGGCAGTGTAATGGTAATAAATTAGATCAGCCAGGCAGAACCCTGGTCATTTATCACCTTACGGAGGGCAGCAATATGGCAACAGCAATTCAAACCCAGTATTAACACTCTGACCTTGGCACCTCCTGTGATAAATATAAGGGTTTATGGTGGTGGATATGAACAGGAATAACTCATGTTCACAACTCTCAAGCACATGGGACCCCGTCCTGCCACAGCCCAAGGGACAGTAACATTTCCTATGGTAATTCTTACCATAAGAACCTTTCTTACATGACAAAGACTCTTACGGTTGTTGAACAGGTTTTTCTAGTTCTAATTACCTGTAAATGAGCTGTTATGAAGGTCAGTTGCAGAGTGAAGCTGTATCGTATGAGTTACTTTATATATGTAGTTACATTTGACTAGATTTTGGCTGTCTTTTTCCTTAATTCCCTATTTTATATTCTCTTGCTGTCCCCATGCCATGCCAAACTAGCTTTACTTTATTTTTTACTGACAAAGCAATGAAGAAAACAGTACAGTTTTGCAGGGTTTTTTTTACCCAATATAAGTGCATACGTGTACATGTACTTCACATACAAAGACTGCCTTATCTTCCCACAAAACAGTCTGAAGTTACCCTATACAATGTCTATTTTTCCTTTCCTGATCCAGTGATTTTCTTCTACCAGGACAAGCCCTGAGTTAGTTTGACCTCTGACACAGTCAACTGCCCTAGTGACCCTGCCCAGGACTCATCATCTACCTAATGACATCACAATTACGACCTTGGGGACCATCTTTGACCTTCACAAAGACCCCGGCATTCGTCACTCTCCTTGAACCACCACAGAATCCCATATCTGTACTGTCCCACCCAACACAAGCAATAGCAACTTTATCACTACTACTTTCAAGTGTAGATGGTATCATTGATAGATATCAAATTATCATGATGGAATCCTTGTTACTTTTACCACCATGTGAGAATTTAGTAGTACTTTCAATCTCTGAAACATTAGCCTCTATTTACTTTACTTACAAAAAACTTAACAGTCAATCATTCATTTATGTATTACCAGTATTATAACAACAGTTGTACTAACTAAAAATCAGCTTGCTTGAATAACTCATAAAAACTAACGCCAAAATTTGACACAAAAATATGTACCAACATTTCTAAAAACCTCAACAGACCCTTTCTATAGTTTTTAAGCCATTCTCCATTAAGGTAATTGTACAGATTTGGTCTTTACTGTCCGCTATCAGTCATAGTTTGTATGGTAATTAGAGAATAAGGACCACTGGCCTCATTTTAACGACAGAGACAAATGAACAGCTCTGAACATAAGTCCCTACAAATCTGCACCATTTAGATTTAGAAATACATGATTTTCAAGACAGTGTCCTCTTTTCATTTTATTATATCAAACAGATGCATAGATTTATCTGGCATTCGTCTGGTCTAAGATTATGGGACTGAATATGATTTTGAATGCCAACATGATAGATGAAAATCAACTAAAATCTAAATGACGGAATTTGAAGTTTCAAAAGTTGATCTTTAATTTTTTGCACTATTATTGACAGGGAACTGCTTGATGCCATTGCAAATTGTGTTATCTTCTCAAACCTTGTGCAAAGTCTCTTTAAATATTTCTTAATTTTGCTCACAGCAGCCGTTAGAAATCGCATAGCGCCATACGGTTATTCAATCAAGCACCTCTCCACGGATCTCATGTATGTAAATTCTCTTCCCTGGAGTGGAATTAAGGAAAACCATCAAATTATGACGGATTTGCTGAAACAACCATCTTGCTCATTAACATTCACAGAACACTTCACTCATTCTGAGCTGCATTAGGATCATATTATCGACTCTTTCCCATCTGTATCTGATATACAATATTTTTTATTGTCATGTCATGTTTCGAAAGATCAGATAATATGCCAATCCATACCTACTGTATTTTCTACTTAGCAAAAGCATATTCCTTATCCTTAATTTACAGGAAAATACAGGAATACAGCCACTTCCTTTTGCCTATAATTTTGATGCTCTTATTTGAATGACTATAAGATAATTTGAAACAATAACAACGATAACAAAAATGCCTTTGAAAAACGTGAATTTCAAAACATTTCAAGGAATGACAACACCATTCTTTAACACTCTCAATCAAGGAATCAGGCATACACATTTGGAACCAAACGTTTGGGCTCATATAACTCATAACAAATTGTTAAAAAAAACATTCCAATACAGCAACTATTTTTCAGCTGTATCAAAATTCAAAGAGTATGAATAGA